TGAGGGTGGGGAGGTGGGAGTGGGGGGTGTAGATAGAGGTTACATCCACAGAGAAGAAGGAGGAGGGGCGAGGGGATTGGGGGTTCCGAGGGGGTGGTGGGGGATGGGGTAAGGGGACAACATAGGAAATGTAAATAAATCATCCAATTAAAAAAAAAGAAAAAAAATAAATGAATTAAAATCTTAGAAAGTTTTAATGTGTAATCTACCTATCGATGAGTTTCAATGGTTTGTAAAGTTAGAAAAAGGAAGAAGAATGGGGAAGCTGGACAGATGTTTGCTCTGGCTGCTTCCTGTACCCACATCCCATTCCAGTGGACCTTCCTCACAAGTGCTCTTGCCAGCTAACCCTTTGCCTTGTTTACTTAGGTCATTTCCATGTTGACATTGCCTGGTCCTCTGAAAGAGACTATGGTCTGATTTTGTAGTTTCTCAGTAATGAAATAGCAAAAACACTGTCAATTCCTTTCCTTTCAAGTAGAACCATACCAATTTTTCTATGTAAAATTCTATTTCTCCCATTTTCAGAGAAAAACAAAATCTTAGTTGTTCTAGTACATAATGTGTTATAAAACCTGACATGTTCCTGCCATTAATGTAAGATCCAGGCATTCTAAATTTCTTGACATGCTAAGCAGTCTACATTCTTTAACACAGACTTAATTCTTTTCCATAAAATCTCTTTTCTCTGTTAACTTAGTACATTATTATACAATGTCAATTTTGGTACCAAGTCTGTTCTACTTACATCACAGATTGGAATTATTGTGGTTTAGGTTACCCAGGATGATAGTAGTTCCTTCAATTAGGTAATATTAGTAGGTGACTCTAATCTGTCTTAGAGTATTTCAAACTGTTTTCTAGATCCTTGCTCTACACTGCCTTGGACAAGGTCTTGATGTTCTAATATGTCAACACTTATCAAGTAGTCACTTACTGTGTACATAAACTCAAGAAGTTATCAGAACCTGAATATCAACAGACAGACACACAGATACACAGTCAAATAAAAGAATATAGTTTCTAGAAAGATTTCACCATCCTTCTCCTCCTCATCATCATTATCACATCATGAAAAAAAATGTATGTCTAGGATATCATCCTGTTTAACATAGAGCCACACTGGTAAGAAGAATGTCCCTGTCTCTTTAGACACCATTCATCACTGCTTAATAAATGTCTTTATAATGCATAGTTGGTTACTCATGCATTCTTTGAAGCCACTGTCATCTGTGCATGCACCTAATTATGCACTAACAGATTATAGTTTAATTGTTCAATTTTATTTCTTTCTTTGGTATTATGTTTCAAAGGAGTCATGCTATTCTCTCTTCATTTATATTAATAGATGGTGATCCCATCTAGTTAGGAAAACTGCTGTATTTGTATATTTCGCCAAGCTTGGTATAGTGCCTAACACTTAGCTTGTGGGAAACACATTACTGGAAAAGGAAAAGAAAGGGAATGAGACTGAAGAATCAACTTGCTAAGTGGCAGTATAGTGAAAAGACATGAGGAATAAACACAGTCAGTGCTAAGGTTAGTTCCTTGGAATAGCAGCACCCAGAGTATTGAATGTACACATAATTGAAGTCATAGTTGGAAAGGTGTTTGAAAATTTTGAGAGCTACTTGAAATAAAACATTTCAACAAGATGACTGTCCCAATTTAATTTCTATCTGGGTGACAAAATATACTTAAAGAATATCAACATAGAGGAGAAATGGTTTGTTTAACCTCAAAATACATGATTACGGTCTGTCACAGCACAGAAACCAGTATAGCAGACACGAAAATGGCTGATTACATCATATCCACAGTCAAAAGCAGAGAGAAATAATCACAATCATGCTTCCAGTACTTGTCTCACTTTCTCTGTTCCTACCCACTCAGGACACCAAATTAGCCAGAACAGACTGGATCTTCCGATATTGATATACATAACTGAAACCATCCACTATAGAGATTTTTACCTGTACACTTACTCTACACAATCCTTCATTAAGACTCTCATTGAGGGTCATTTGAAATGGTGCCAACTTTACAATTAAAACTAATTATCACTAATTCCTTGGTGGATAAAAGAGAAAAAGAAAATTTTAATGCAAATTGTGTTTGTTACCAACCATAACCATTTTTCTACAAATTTGGTAACTAAAATTAACAAAAGTTTTGTATGCCACTGTTCTAGGGACAGATGTGTAACATCTGTTTTACCTGGATGATAGAGAGCTTCATAGGAAAATTATGTTCTCTTTAGGGGAGAATCCATACTTTAACCCTACTTTCTTCTGGCTGTTCCTGAATTTCCCAGAATATATTGTAGTTACATCATCCTGCTTTCTGACTCCAACTTTAGATTACCTATCACCTTCTCATATGTGTGTCAAATACTTGTGTGGACACTTCTGAGGTCATTTAGGAACTCCCTGGTTAATCCGGAATAACATCATCACAGAATTATAAACTTAAAACTGTGGAGGTTCTTTAAATAAAGTAAAAAATATTCATAGGCTCTGGAATGAAGACATGGGCAAATGATAGGAGTTATCTGCTTATCACAATATAATCAAAGAATAATATCTGAAAAGACTTTATAACTTCAAACTACAGCATGTAAAGGCAATAAGAAGGTGAAGTAGTAGTATTTGACTTAAGACAGTAGAAGGAAGATGAATCTATTGTAAAGAGGAGATATTTATTAAATGTAAGCAAGCATGTACATGTAGCACAATCATGGATGGTTCAGATGTTGGAACACCTGGGCATTTTCCTAGCCATGGTTGCCTCAAGAGCTGCAGAGACTTTGAAACACTCTAAAGTAAGGAATAGAGGTACATACTTATGATTAAGTCTGCAGTAAAAATGGACTTATCATCTCTCATTTTACTAAGAGTAAAAAGAAGTAAAACTTTCTTGGTAATTTGACCCACAATGGTCTCAATCCATAACATAAGAACAAACATGGTACCAGAAATTGACTTGGAACTGTGCTACCCAAGTTAAGGCCAAGCGTAGTTATATTCTAAGAAAGAATATTGAGAATATTTCTCTAGAGAGAATAAATGCCACACACAAAAATATCCTGTGATTAAGAAATTCATGTGTCATACTCATGAAAAGAAGCCAGCTGCCACCCAACTATTGCAATGAAAGCCTATTTTTAAATAAAAATTCTAATCAAGTATTTAGTTCCTCATTCAAAAATGTGGTTGGAGAGCCAGGGCTTACCACTGGGACTCCATCCAAGAGAAAATACAAAACAAAATAAGTGAAACAAGCCAGTTAACTCAGAGAAGCAGAGAATATGTGGTAAGGAGGAAATTTCCTACAAATGATAGTTTGCCCACATGTGAAATAAAAATATCCCTCTAAAACAATGAAAATAAGTGGTAAAGAGAGAAATGGAGAAGAGAAAATAATGAATAGGAGAGTTATAATTTAACATATGACTGTACATACAAGAGTATAAACAAAAATCTAGGAAAAATATAAAGATAATGAAAAGTAGGAAAAATGACAAACAAAAACAGGAATGAGAATTTTCTTTCTCTAAATGTATTTATGAATATAATACAAACTGCACATTTTATGCCTAAATGAAGATGAAAGAAAATGTTAATGAAAGTTATGAGAGTTACAATAAGAATTTTTTTGCATAATATTCCAAATAAATAAGGAAAAGCAGGTACCTCAGCACAGAATTGAAGGAAAACTCACCAGGAGACACATTCCAATAACATATCAAATAACATATTTTATATGGAGTAAATCAATGTTCCCAAGAGCTGAGGCTAGAAAAGAGGGTCTTGAAATGATATGTACATCATTTGAAGTGGCTTATACATCATTACAGAAAGTTAGAAGATGACTGGGAACAGCTGAGAATCCCAAGTGGAGGTTATTTTCAGCATAAAAGGATGTTTAATGTTTGATGAGATAAATGCAAACAACCTGGTTAAATACTATACAATTTAAATTTGTATCAAAATAGTCCTTGTGGAGGGGTGCTAGAGAGATTGATCAGGGGTTAAGGGTACTTGTTCTTCTCATGAGAATCAGAATTCAGAAACTGTCAATTATGTAACAAGCCATATATGATTTCTATGCATGTCTGTAAACTCAGCACTGAATAGGCAAGGTGGCAGGGATTGAGTGACTACTGAGGTGTCTGGCTACTGACCAAAACTACAAGCTAGGTACTTAGCAAGAGATCCTACTACAAAGTCATAAGGAAGAGAGTAGTAGAGCTACTTTGAGAATATGTGTGTTCCAAAATTAAGTCTCCATCCTAGGTATGGGATAGCTCCTTATGAGTTGTTGTTCAAAGAGACTCAGAGTCCCCTTAAATCATGAAATCTATTGCTAACATTCTTAGTGCCCACCGGAGACTGATGATAAGGCCACATCATCAAAGGCACTATACACTTCGATGCAGAATGTGGAGAAATAAAGATTGAAATGAGATTGGGACTATCCTACCAGCTGGGTAGCTTGGATAGTATGAGAAGAGAGATGCTGTGCAGGCTGCTATGGAAAACAGTCTTTCTTATCCAACTATCAATTTTGTAAGATAAAATGAAAACTTTCCCAATGAAATGTGTCCATGGTACACTGGAAACAATACTGTTACAGAGTTAACCAACTATTTTCTGGTTGGATTTCAAACCTACTTGCAGGAGGAAGTCATACTGGTACTTTAAACTTTGTCAAAATCACATGTCGGAAGAGGTCATAGGCTCAAGGGGTGATCCTACCTCTGTTTTGTTTTTTGTTTTTTGTTTTTTGTTTTTTTTTTGCTTAATGAACATGCTATTAAAATGTCTTCCTTATATTTTTGTTTGTACTTATAAATTAATACTATTCTCATCGTAGTCAGAGATGCCATTATTTGTGGCCAGGAATCATTAATTTAGACACTATAACTGTCAAAAGTGCTGAGAATCAGTGACTGTTGAGTGCTTGGCTCTAAATAGGACTTCTATATCACCACTTCAAAGGCTCAGGGAACTTCAAAGAGAGGAAAGAAAAATGTCTAAACCTGAAGGAAAGGATGCGGTGCTATGAAATGCTGTCTTCTTGACCTGACATGGCTTTTTCACCCATGAATCCACGTCATCCATAGAAACCTGCAAAGCTGGGCCCATGAGCATTCTGTCTTGGACAGAAGAGGAGATTAAAATGTTTTAGGTCTCTGTGAGGAGCTATGAACAGCTAAAGAAAGGTAAGTCATATTTTTCAATGCTACATTGCCTTTGGTCAAGTAAATGGCCCCTGGCCTACACTGAAATGGGCTACTCTAATTGAACACAGTGGGGCACACATACATACACACAAAGGTCATGAAAGTGGGATGGGTAATTATAGGGAAAAAGAAAGGGTTAAGTATGAGACAAAGGCAGCATATGAATTTATAGAGAGAGGAAAATATGATCAAATAATTTAACATAAATTGATGTAATTATAAAATAATAAAAGTAACTGTATTATACCACTAGTATAGCTTTACTAGACTAATTTTTATATGAATATTTGCTTTAGTAAAACACTGATCTTTTCAGAGAAAAGTAGAATGGATATATTTCTAAATACACATGCACTGCGTTTAATAGCAAATATAATTCTTGAATGAACATGTAAGTCAAGCTTGATTTTAAAATTCTACTGTAAAGGCAATATATACTTTTACAAAAACTTGTACATTATTTTTACCTGGTCTCCAGAGTGTTGGACTGACTCCAAGAAAAGCATCCATTGGTTATTGCTATTAAGTTTCATCTTCATATTATCATGAGCAATCTAAAGAGATGTCCTGGGGAAAAGAAAGGTTGATTTATAAGTTCAGAATTGACACTCATCCAAAAACTTCCCATGGGTAATAGTAATGCTGATTTTTATCAACTTGTTAATAATAGAGCCTGGCTGTCTCATTTATCTTCAAAACAAACCAAATGCAAAATCATATTCTCCTGAATAAAAAGTCCTTTAAAAATATGCCTCCTGCCAAGCACACTGAGAACAAGAGAAGTTTGCAGAACAGGGTGAGTCCTGCCATGGTTATTTCTGGAGAACATCTGACTCTGAACTTCTTTTTCTGACATTCTTAGAGAAACTATTGCACCCACAGCAGTTCAATGCAAGCACTCTTCATTTCTGCAGGAATAAGGGTCAGGCAGCATATAGTATCCTCCGGAAAGTGACACAATACAGCCACAAAAGCCATCACAGTAATACATCAAGAAGCGTTATGGTTTCCATTAGCACTAACATAATAGAAAATGAAATGTGTGCTTTCCAAAGTATAGGCTGCACAAAACGTCACACCTGCTGTGTTCTCAAGAGGAATAGTCACTGTATCAAACTCTACCAGTCTTGCCGATGGTTATAACTAGAACATCAGAGGCTTGGGGATAGCCTTGGTATTTAGAACAGGAGAATCCAGCAATTGCTAAGATGATATCATACACACACATACACACACACACACACAAACACACGCACATGCACACAAACACACATACACACGCGCACAAGCGTGCAACCTGGTTCCAGACTGCCTGCCATGAAAAGTCATGATGTACTACTTCAAAGAAGGAAATTCAGGTTATCTCTGGTGAACACAGCCTGTGGCTGTATGAATGAGTATCAGAAAATAGGTGCCTCACTAATTTTTATTTTAACTTTGTCTCTTCTGTTTATCTGTAAGAAACCTTCACTATTAATTAGAGAAAAGGGCTTAGACTTTTTTTAGGATGTGATGCTCCTATAAAGTGAGCCGAATGGGTCAAATATTCCATTTACCTCAAGAAATCAATTATAGAAGAGCAGACTTAGAGCAGACTTAGTCTTAGCATCTCAGAGAAAAAGAAAGAAAGAAAGAAAGAAAGAAAGAAAGAAAGAAAGAAAGAAAGAAAGAAAGAAAGAAAGAAAGAAAAATTAAGGCTTCTCACTTTAGCATTTTAGTTATCCTGATAATTCTGTCAAATTCCTTTTTAAAACTTTAGTCATTTATGGACTTTTTCAGTATTACATCAAGCTCTTGATACATTCATACGTCTTTGCATATGTCACATTTTTCTGTGGATATCTCATTTTTTTAATTATTTTACATCACAAAATGGCACAATAGAACACACTATTTTTCTTTTTCTTTTTCTTTTTATCAGTGATTTGCATGAGCAATATTTGCCATACTCTCAGGCAGTTGAATACATGGTCCTGGTTTCTGTTGCTGTCTGAGAAGGTTCAGTAATGTCACTAGGGATGAAAGATGTTTTGAGACTTACAGCTTTGCCTATTTTACTTTTCCCTCTCTTCTTGCAGTTCAAGATGTGAACACTTGGCTTCTTGTTTCGGTCACTGAGCCTACAGGCTGCAGTGTGCTACCAAGGTGTCTCCACCATTATTAAAGATTCTAAACCTCTGGACTATGAGCCCAAATCAACTCATTTTAGAGGTTGCCTTGGTCACATGGCTTAATCACAGCAACAATGCCTCTCGATTATTTTTTTTTATCCCCTGCTTGATTTGTGTTAAATCCTTTTTTACGTATTGTAGCCTAACCCTTTCCCTAGTCTCTGGGGCACTTCAAGAATGACACCAGCTTAGTCGATCATCTCTGAAGTCTCCCTACAAGTTTGTCACATTCTGATGTCCTTGCTAGAGAGAAATTACTGGGATTCTGTTGCTTTCCAAACATCTCTTGCAAGCTGCAAAACCTTTATGTCTTCCTATGCCTCTTCTAAGCCACTCTTCCCCTCAGCTTTTCTACCCAACTAAAAACTGCCGCTCTGCCTACTTTTCAAGTACCAATTCCTGAACCTCTCCAAAGTTTCCTTTCAAACAGTGTGTCCTTGGTGACAATTCCTTTGACCATACCTGTCCAGCCCATGGCAGTATTTATAGTAAGCTCAACTCTGTCTCTCTCTTGATGGTTATATTATGTATGCTATGTTGAGATGTTTATACATCTATCTATGGTGTTTTCTATGTTTGTCCTTTAAGGTATAGTCTCATGTTTCTCAGGCTGGTCTTGAACTCAGAGACCTTAGATTGCTTTTGATCCTTTTGCTTCCTCCTCACAAATACTGAGATTATAGGCATGGGCCACCACAGATTTGGCTCTGGTGCCTGAGCTTTAGCATATGCTAAAGCACTAAGCAAGCATTCTCTCAACTGAACCACATATTCAAACTCTGTCTATTTAAATAAATTCCATACCTCCTTCATCATGGTGGAAGCCCTGTTGGGCTGAGGAGTAGAATGAGGGATCTCATTTTAATCATGCATAATCAAGACTTCATGGCCAACAAAAGAACAAACAGAGTATTTTTCACTTAATGTGATATTAGAAATACCCTATTTGAATATTAATACATTTAAAGTTTTTATATATAGTTTGTGTAGTATAGTATGCAAACTAAAACTCTTTTTTAAAAGTTTAGTGTTCTAGCCAAGAACAAAACTGATATTTATGACAAAATGAAATTTATGAAGACTTTATCACTTCTAAAAATTACCTCAATATTTATGTGATAAGTATAGACAGACAGTGTACTTTTACCTTTCCACCAGGAATGAATTGAATCAGAAAGTTATCTTCAAAACGAGTGTTTCATTTTAATATTTTAAAACTGAATTCCTTCTTAAGTGAAAACTATAAATAAGTTCATCAAATATTCACATTCTTAAGCATGTCACAGGACAAGACAAAGCTGTATAAACTTAAAATTATTACCAGTTACATATAATGAAATTCATTAAATAGAAATTTAAGTTGGAAACATGAGAAACTCACATTCTTGCCTAACTCAAACCCATAGCAACTTTCTCTAAAAGCCTTCATTGGTCATGTGAAATTTTTCTTTCCTTTTCTTTTAGCAGGGAAAGAATGCTGCCACCCCCCCGGTCATATTCTCTCTCTCTCTCTCTCTCTCTCTCTCTCTCTCTCTCTCTCTCTCTCTCTCTCTCTCTCTCTCTCTCTCTGTGTGTGTGTGTGTGTGTGTGTGTATCTGTGTGTGAGTGTGTATGTGCTTCATTGAAAGAATTTCCACTTCATATAAGAAATGTGAAAATATTGTAAAGGTGAACCCTGAATCATTTTAGTGCAGAATTGACATGTGACAGTGACCTAGAAGTTAAAAATGTTCATTGTGGAATCCTTACTTTCAGAAAGATGAAGAAGTTACCTGATGTACTATATAGGGGAGGTACCTCAGCACAAAACTTTGTTTTTGTACAAAAGAAAGAAAACGTTGAATGTACACCACAGTGTTTTCTACCAGAGACAATTTGGGTAACTTGTTTAAATTCACTCACCCTTATTTCTTCCCTGGTATAGCAAGCATGATAATCCCTCTTTTAGTTTTCATGGGAATTACAGGAGCTACAGAATGAAAAGCCTCTGGAAAAATTCATAGACACTATGGACACTTCTGCTCATAGATGCAGCAGTTCAACTCCAAAGACATATTATTTGTTGAGAAAAGGTCTCATTCTATAGACTTGGATGGCTAACAAGAAGACCAAGATGGTCTGAATACCAGAAATTTACTGGCTTTTAGCTCCAAAAGTCTTGGATTAAAAGTGTGCCCTACCTCATCCTTGAAAAAACCAGTTAGATGTGGTGGTTCACACTCATGACCTTGCTGCATAAGCTAAGGCAAGGGAAGGGAATTTCAATGAGACCTGGGTCACCTTGGGCTAAACAGTAAATTGAAGGGTAGTCTTGGCTACAAAGTAAGACCTTACTTCAGACATGCAACAAGAAAGCAAAGGTTACACATTCTGAAAAGAGTAAAAGACGGTTTTACCTAAGGCCTGAGTCATAAATTGTAGGTAGAGTTATGGTGATACTTTAGGAAGCTGACATGAGCTCTGAGTAGGATAAAAAAACTAATGTCCCACACGCACCTTCCCCACAAACAAGAACAACAGCCACAAAAGACCTCTGCCATGTTAAGAATAGTACAAAAAAAAATGTTGCTTTTTATGTTTGAAATCACATTCCTTTCAGCCACATGTAATTTAAAATATGCATTCATTCATTTTAAAATAAATGGTTGAGGAAAATGCTCCTTCAGAAACATTACTATACTTGCTCCAGAAAACTATACTGTGGTTTTTAAAAATGGTCACAAGGCCAGCAAATCCCTCCCTGCTCAATCAGTGAGCATAGACTTTGGACAAGACAGTAGAAATGCACAAAGAAGCTCTGTTACTGCA